TTCTAGGACAGCGCAGTTACTGGTAATCATATATTTACTCCTAGAGTTTTGTCAGTAAGCTCAACCTCGAAACAAATAAAGTTCCTACAAAGTTTCTTCTTTTAGTTTCATCTATAGTTTCAACTTTGATAGATATCATGAGTTTACATATCAGCTAATAAGTCGATGTTTAAAATCTATCGCATCCTAGAATTATCGAAATGTTTATGATATTATTAAAAACCTATTTGAAATCCAACTGTAACTAAATGAACAAAAATCCCACTTACTGGAATTAAAACTGGATTCACATAATAAATTGAAGCATTGAACAAAATTAAAATATACAAATCATGCAAAGTTGACATTGTATTAGATTTTATTTGCACTATCTCACAAATCAAAGTATATTTAGGCCCAAGACCATGAATCTAAAAATTGAAAGATATGTTATGCTAAATATTATTCCGTTTTATTTCTGCTTATATGTAGATATAATATACTATGACAGTCTATACAAAATTTACTATGAATTGACACAAAAACCTGAACCACTTAACTACTGAAAATTTGAACAAGGGATACCGAGTTGAACACAATACTTTTAATGTAGTTGTGACGTTTTATCCAAAAAAAACAGGACTCTTTTTGATAGATTAGAAAACGTTACCTTTAAAAGACATTTTCAAAATGTATGTATAATATGCCACTATTTTCCCCAAAAGCTTTTCATAATATCACATCGTGTTCATTTACTTAGACTGAAGTTATATTTTCTTAATCCTAAGATGACACTGAGCTATTGAAATTAGCTGAAGAGTTTTGTCAGTAGTATTTTTAACGCATGATGTTGACTCCGTGACGATTGGAATTACAATGACGGTAATAAAATATATATCATATTTCAGTTCGTTTAAATTCTGTCAACGAATTCTGTTGATAGTAATGTAGATATAAAAAGTGGTAGTATATTTCTGAGTTCCATCATCCAAATGAATGATAAGAGACGAAAGAAAATTCCTGTGAATTGGAGTAGCAGAAATAACTTACTGCATCTTAATCGAACGTTATCCAACGTTTATAGCTAGACGGAAAAAGTAAGCTGATGACTTATTAAGGTTATAAAGCAAGGGATACATGGATGTACGCACACATACATTCATGTATAAAAAACAATCAAGGTTCTAAGTGTAAAAGTGAGAAAGCTAACCTCAATATTGTTATGCTCGTCGCTTGGTATGCTTGAACTAGTACGACTTCGCCTTAGTCGGTAAACGAGAGCGAAGATAATTGATCCAGTGGCACGATAGGTTACTCTAATTCGAGTGTCTAAAGGCCCCACTAAGTAGAGGAAGAAGTCTTGATATGGCACAGAAAGTGTATTCTACAAGAAAATTGAGGTTGACAAGCACACAAATCGAGTTTATTTATACATGATGGAAACGTCATTGGAAGAGCCACAGACATAGCGTACTAAAATAATACATCAACTAATAACAGTCAAGGATTTTATGAGTGGGAAGTGTAATCTCAAGGTCAACTGATCAGCCCATGTGCGAAACCACAAAATCCAAAATTAGGACCTTTATCAAGTGAGTTCTGGGGATCTAACGTCCCCAACAAATAGATCAACTACCAGATCATATTATCTTACACTGATTTGAAATCATCATCTGAACATAAAGATATGCATATTTGATGAATATGTTTTTGATACATTAAAACAAAATCAAAGTACAATTCCTTTTTAAAAAAAAGCTGATTAGCCAACATAATTCATTAGTGAAAAAACAGTCTCACCTGTACATTTAATTTAATTTGTTCACCATAACCAGATATTGGAATAGGATTAGAATGATTTTCTAACATATTAAGAAAGGTGGATGAAATTGATCGCCTCATAAAGCTTAAATCATTCATAAATTTACGATACATTTCTGGAATAAAAACAAAACAAATTCATACACATAATCTCTGCATAAAAACACTTTTTTTTTATTATCGTATATACAACTCTGTTATATGATAATCAACCGTCATTTGTGACTTAATTTGAAATTGTGTAACTTAACAGTTGAGCTATTCAATCTATCATAAATTATTGGTTGGAAAGTGATATAAACAGAAAGAAGGATTTTATAGGTAACTGTAACTAGTTGTACACATATACACACATCATAGACTATGTGTGTTTAAGGCAAATGAATATTCTAAAGGTGAGTTTGAATAAAAATATTCCTTATGCATTTAAATAAATTAATTTGAAAGCAAACATAGAATACATTCTCAATTCTGTTGATTAAAAGTAGTTAATTCGCGACATTGGTGATTGCGATGGAGCGCGATAAACACTAGTGTGATGAGTAATCAAAAGAACAATACTAATTTGTTTCATTACACTGTAGTGAAAGTTGATAGACAATAATGTTCGCTTATTCATTGACAAAACAACAATTTCATTTAACAGTTCTATTGGTGAAAGGTCATATTGGAAAGAAATTTTTATTGGTGGTATTTTGTTCTCTGAGCTGGATGTTTTGGTTGTGGAGCTTTCTTTGCTCTTCTGAACAACATCATCAGCACAAACTTCAGACAGAAATGAAGCATTCGAATTTCTCTACGTTTGACCTGTAGCTTGTTCTGCTAACCTCGATCTTGAAAGGTTGCTGTTGACCTTAAGTCTGTCGTTGTTCGCATCATTGTTTTGATTGTTTCCCCATCTGATCTGTTTCCTGAACCTATGTCGCCTGCAGTTTTTCTGATTGGTTGATAAATTGGGTCAATGTCGAAGTGTTCATAGATTGCTGATTGACCTGAGTGCCAAGGTTCTAAAAATTCTCGCTACATAGGACAAAGTGGACATACTCTTTAGCTTCTTTCACGTGAAAACCAATTAGCAGTCAAACTTCACGACATTTCTTTCATTATATCAATACACATGGACAACTATGGACATACGTTGGAATACTGGATAGGGGGAGCACAAAGAACACTAGAGAACAAGCTATGGGTCGAACATGGAGCAATTCGAATGCTTCACTTTTATCTGAAGTTTGTGCTAATGATGTTGTTCAGAAGAACAAAGAAAGCTCCATAACCAAAACGTCCAGCTGAGAGAAAGAAACACCACCACAATCATCCACCTGAGAAGAGTTACAGTTTATTAATATTTTCTTCTGAAGTCATAAGTTACGTTATTTCATGTAGGCATTATTCAGATACTACACAAACAGTTTAGCTAATCGTTGTAGTGTTTCGTTCTCTGGGCTGGATCTTCTCCACCAGTTTAGCTAATCAAATAATTTATTATAAACATATGCACAGAGTGAATATTACTGATTACTATAAATAATGATAACACTCACGAGGTGCATTCAACTGTTCACGAGTAGTTAAATCCATAAATAAACTCGATTTCTTAGGAATGTTCAAATTATCAAGTTTATTCATTGTACGAGAGGAAATCACATCCATGGGAATAAAATTAGCTGAACGTTTAACAATTAAGATTAACATATGTCCATCTGAAATCAAAAATAAATGAAATAAATAACTTCAGCTTTACATTGTGATGTAAATGTATGCTTAGAAAATATAGATAAACAGAATTTGTCAAATGGATAAGACTTAAATACGTTTACCTAACAGGGGAGTAAATTTTCTATATGAGAAATTGTTTAAAACACGTGGTTTATTTCACATAGTGATCACTAAACAGTACCATGTGAATATTTTCGATATGGTCAGTTAATGCTACTGGTTAACATATAATATGATCAGATCGTTTGAATAAAGTACTTCAGTGTGCAGAAACTGAAACTGAATTGTGTTTAGTAAATTGGATAACAGGGTTTTCAGTATCCTTTCATTTACTTGATAATAAATATTATCGGCAAGATATAACTGCTTGGCAAACCATTTTTAAACTCATCATTTGCGATCGTCCTCCGAATTTAAGTTTCGAATAGTGAGATCTATAATTTTAAAGCAGTTATCAATAATATAATTTCAGTATTTCTAGGGAGAGCAGTTCATCAAATATACAAACTCGGGTTGGATTATTAGTTTGAAGACTAGGAACACTCTGTCAGTCACAAACAAAGTCAAACTTGGTATGTATGTGCATCATTTCAAGTTGCCATACCGCATTAACGCAGAGATCGAATTATCAATTCAAATCCCTTAGTGGTAGAGATGGTAGGATTATTAGCGGCAATGGAAAAGGTTACGGTTCGAAGATATTATTCAACAAGTATAATTCAATGAGATAAATTTAGAAAGAGAAAGATAGGGGTGACGAGGAATTCAGAAGATAAGATCTTCAGAAAACACAAAGAGTGTACGGACGCACGCCACTGTGAATGATTTTGAGCCATGTCATTCAAAGTCTCTAACCATCAGTTACTACCATCATCTCGCGGACCCCAACCTAGTAGTCTACACCTACCAACATGGCTCAGTCCAGTTGCCAGTGACTTCATGAATTTGTGTCATGTTTTGGTTTGGCCACCCCTAGGTGCCACCATAAGATCCACCCAGGTGTCTCTCAGTTTCGCTTAGTCTATTCTATGAATTCAGTCTCAGAGAGCTACTTCTATATGAAGCGAATGAAAATATTCGGATCCTTATGCGCTTTTCGGAGACGCAGCATACAACAATGACCCAAGATTCTAAAGTCTTAACAGGGAAGCTCGTTGTCCTATTAGCACACTGTCTGAACAATAAGAGCTCTAACATGTGGTTGAGAGTGACTTCGGGAGACCAGGAAAAACATTTCGTGAATTTGAGTCATGTTCACTGGAGGCGCCAGGTGATAAAGGTATGAGAGAACCGTTAGTCATGGAGGTTAGAGAGTTATTAAGAAGTGTAGAAGGGATTTGATTGTGAGCAACTGATCTTGAGTGCCGTTAAGGGTATGATAGTGGTTGTCATTTCCGTGATGCCAACACAATGGAAGGGTATTTGCTGATGAACCCAAGAAGGAAGTCTGATTAGCAGTGGTCTCAGAGACCTTGGAGTGTGAGTGAAGAGCCAGAGACAACTGCATGAGTCCGGTTGCGCATGTCCTTTTTATTAGGTTTCAATGTGTTAGCTCCGCTATTCAAATGGCCTTAACGCAGGAGACGGAAATCTGTGAAGCAAGGTTAGGTTTATCATTTTTAAGGTCAACCTTTTCGAACCTCCTCCTTCTGTTGTGAGAAGGCAGCGCTGCTACAGATGCTGGTTGTTACACCTCTCCATAGTCAGCAATACGACTTGCACTCAGACCTTAAGTTGCTGCTTTCAGTCTTACCGTTCTCCAATCTACCTGCCTGGCACGGTAAAACTTAAAGGAACAGGTGTTCCAGCCAATGTGGCTCAGCTTGCTCATCACAAAAGGCAAGCTCAACCAGCACGTCATAGTAACAGGTACGGTCAGGACTAGGAGCATTAGTTGTAAACGTGACCACTAAGGGTCAATCTTAGCCTCGAATTTCAAGTCATAACATTGACAAATGATGAATAAAATCAATGATTTCAAAAGAAAATATGTGCAAATTCTATATTTTCCAACTATCAAAACTTAATAGAGAAATTTATGAAGTTTATTTTTCGAAAAAAACGAATTGACAAACTTTGAGATACAAGTATGAGTGTATTGATTTCTCTGTCGTATTTCCCGAAACAGCAAGCAACAATTGGATCAGGTTTCGCCAAGTGATAACCAATTAGTTTACGTGATTGATTGTTATTCTGTTCAGTGTCTGTCAATTTTATAGCATTTGAATCACCAGATGTTAGATTATTTGAAGAATTACTGTGATTATTTTCAGTATTAGTATTCTGGATCGAAGGAATCCATGTAATACATCGGTCACATAAATGTTGATCACAATAAATCTGTACTGAACCATCAGATAAACATAAAATATAATAAATTTCATGATTTCTATTATTTGAACTGATAAAATTCATTGGAGTGATGGTTAAAATTTCACAGGAATGTCTTACTCTCCAAATTGGTCGACCCTAGAAAGTTGCATAAAAATGGATAGGATGTAAGGTTACTAAAAAAAATGAACGTTTATTTCATTAATTGTCTATAATGAAGATTCTTTAACTTCAATGAATGGAAACATGTAACTCACTGAATCAAATAAAATTTAGAATTGTTAATGTACTATGTCAAATAAGAATAATCGAAGTGGTAGCGCATAACTCCTAGCTGCTTCATGTTACATAACTCTTTTAGTTCCAGAGTAGATTGGTGTATGATATATGCAGATTCTAGGGAAATAGGAGCAGAATGAAAGATTTTTGAAAAATATGTGGCAAAGATTTCGTTGGTGGATAGCCGAATATGACTCATACACGTATGCAGACGAATTTAAATGACAGGCTTACTTACGATTCCAAAGTGAGCAAGGTCATTTCGTTTTTTTTTGAATAGGATAATTGATCGATTCGGTAGGAGATAAGCAAGTGGCCGTCTACGGTTCTCTGATTAGATTAAGAGAAGACTTTCATAAATTATTTCAATTTGCTTCAGAAGGAAAAGTGACCAACAGATTTGTACGAAAGCTCTAACTCAAAGCTTAAGTAATACTTCGAAATCCTTAAGCCGAACGATACCGTTTTTCTAAAGCACTGTAATGTGTTACATGAATAGCTAGAAATTTACAAACTTGTTGAAAACAATTAAAACAAAGTTGTTATCTTTTAAATAACTTACACAATCTGATCTAAAGCAGCAGATGAAACATGGTCATATCATGTACAAATATTGACAGATAATGACGATAATTTAGGTGTCATTTTATAAAGGTCAAAACAGTAAAGAAAAAACAGAATTATTTTCAAATTTACGAAAAATAAACTGAGTCTAACAAAGTTGATTATCATAAATTTATCCATGTTTCAATTGTGAACAAACTAATTTCAGATTAGATACAGATTTCTTGGAGTATTTGTTTGAATCTTTTAAAATATGATATATGAAGAAACAATCTAAAACTCAATATTAAAACAATTCAAGCAGTTCATTAACAATAAAAAAAAAGTAGTGTGCCATAACAAAACAACCAATAGAAAGGATATACGAATGCATATAGTTGACTTGTTCACTTAGTAATGAATAATACTTTCGTTATCATAATAACTAGATTTTCAGGTAAATCAACGAATAAGAATAATTTAGATACGATAACTATAGCAGCAAATAATAATGAGTGTCAGAAAGTTGTATTTTCTTTGGTATGGTGTATAGTTTATATAATACAGTTGTATATTGACTTTAAACGCTTGTGAAATTTAAAAAAGAAACTATTTTTCTCAATTCCATTTCATTATGATCAATGGTAGTCGGTGTCAAACTATGCAGGATGGTAAGGTTACAAAGTTAGAATTTTAAGTGAAAGTACAATAGTATTGCATTTATGAAAAAAATTTTGTATACATAAGTATTTGTTTAAAAGTACTATTAGATATTACTAATTCACCATAATTATTTACCTCTAGTGAGAACCCTTTGACAGTTTGATCCATACAAGCGACTATAACAGCTTTATCTGTACGAACAAAACCGATAATCTGTGATCCAGTATCAACATAAACTTTAGCATTGATTTCTCCACTTGAAGAATAGGAATGGTAATAAAATGTTAGTTGATGTGTCAGTAATATAAAAAAAAACAACAACATGAAGATACAAACTATTTTATCGAGATCCACTGGACAGATAATCAGCCAATAAGAGTATTATATTGAGATAAAAGAGAGTAATATCAAGAGAGAGATGAGTTTTGCAAATTATCTACCTGACAAAGTGAATCATATTATTAAAGTTAATTCATGTAATAGGATCACTCAAGTTTCCATTAGATTTCATGACCTCAGATTACCATTTGTTTGATTTGATCTGTCTGGTTGACATTGTCAACACCTCTTCAAAGTTAGGATGATACATCACCTTACAATTCAGAAATTAGTTTGATAAGACGTCTCAGGAGATTCGTTCCAAAATTTAGGCAGGGTATTGATATGATAAAAATGATACTTCTGAACAGTTTCAAGACTGTATTAGTTTCCGTTTCATATTACACGGCAGTAAGCTAATATTTTAAGAACCATTCTTTTGAATTTTATAGTATATTTAGTATGAGGATAGCAGTGGAATCCAGAATGCGAGTTTAATCTTTTTCAAGACTCGACAGATTTACACATATGATAGTATTGATGTTAACAGTAAGACTCAAATGGAGTATTCTTCTCCCCCTGAAATACCAACACGTTACCCACTACTCATGTAGGGAAGTCACAAACTGTTGTTAATATCTAGTTATAGGCTATCCGAACTTAGTACTTCAGTGGATAACTATAATTATGAGCAAATGAAACTGGTTTAAATGATCACACTACACGTATCTGCTTACATATAATGATTGAATATTTATTCAATAACAAGACTATCATAAATATATTCCTCTTATTATATGCTTTCCACAAACCCATAAATTATTATCATACAACTTATTGTTCTTATTTTTTTGACAGTTTGATATTCATAGTTTCCCCTTACTCATAGCCACTTTTAACCCACTAATGTATAGTTGTCACGTCCCATTTATTGGTGCGATGTGATCTGGTTGCGTGTATGCAGTTGTATGCCTGAAATAAAGGTTGGACTGGTATTTTTTGGTTTTAATTATTCTTCGATTAGGGCAAGTTAGTATTGGGCCAACGTCTGTGCATAGAGTAGTCCAGTCGTCCATTTTTGTTGCATATTGGTTACTAAAATGTCATCTGAGTGTTGTTTAGTGTTAGGATGTAACAACTTGAAATCAAATATTTTAAAATGATAGGTAGTGATATATTGAAAATAGTTATGCAGTCATGTTCATTACTTGTTAAAGTTTCCTTCCGCCTTAATTCTTTTGATAACGCATTAGTAGTTGTACGGATAATAATACGTTTTCTCATATCCACCCAACACGTCTTTCATTCACTTGTTTATGAAAAAGAATAATATACTTACTTCATCGGTTGATATCTCATTTATAATTGGATTATGGCATCGAGTCTAACCCCCTATTACGTTTGAACAAATCATAGATTCTGATAGACAGACAGATACAACGCAGAACTTCGTACATAAGTACATCAGTTCAGGTTGCCATACCACATCAGCACAGAGACGCAAATGTCAGTTCAAATCCAAGAGTGATAGTGATAGTAGAAGTATTAGCAGTAATGGAGAAGATTAAGGTTTGAAGATATGATTCGAGAAGTATAATTCAGTGAGATAAATTTATAAGGAGAAAGATAGAGATGATGAGGAATTCAGAAGGTTAGAATTAAAAAGAACACAAACAGTGGATGCACCTGCGCCATTGCAAATGATTCTGAGCCATGTCATTCAAGGTCTCTAACCATCGGTGACTTTCGTCTCGCGGACACCAACCAGATAGCCTACATCTACCAACATGACTTAGTCCACTTGTCAGTGACTTCATGGATTGCTGCCATGTTTTGGTTTGGCCGCCCCTAGCTTCCTTTCAACCTACTCCTACGCCACAAAACATAGCTCGTCGCGGCAGTTTGTGGTTAGCCATACGTAACACATGTCCCAACCACCTCAAATGATGAAGTTTCACTACTTCATCTATTGATTTGCCATCCATATCTAGAACTCGTTTCCTGATAAGTGTTGCTCACTCGGTTGTCCCACGATACACGACCAATGCTTCGGAGACACCGATGATCGAAGATAGTTTCTGATAATGACTGATACACTCTTTGGGCAAATATCTGAAATTGATCACTTCTGACTATGACCAATTCACAATAGCGTAATTAGTGTGAATTTTGAGTGCTTCTGCGTTTTATTTAATTCATTCTTATTAAGTTGGGTTATTTCATTTCGTTGGATTAACGGATTTTATTTTCTATCGACAGAATGAAAAACGAATAGTGAAAACTTCAAGATTCTTATAGATCTGAATCTCGTTTGAACTAATGAAAAATCAAAAAAATTACTTGGAATTAACAACAATTGAAACAAATATTGTATACATGTGTAACATAATTTACCGTTTTATGGAATAAATTATTCCATTACGACATGTTACTAAAATATGATAGTCAATATCATAGGATCCGATTGCGTTTAAATGAACTGGAACAGATGGCAATGTAATCTGTGATAAAAATAAAGATGATGTATAATATTGTAGTTATGAAGTACGTACAAGCGTAGGTATAAATTCTAGGCTTTGCTAAATATAACTACAGGCTTCCGAGGTTATTATTATCGTTTATAACAATATTTCTGGCATAAAAGCGGTCCAACCAAAGAACTATTTTCCTAGCATGATAATCGTAAGCCGTAACTATGCTTAATTTTATGTTGATAAGAAAAATTACAAGACTAAACATTTCTTAAAGATCATATTTATATTAAGTAGTGTGATGATGACATGTGTATATATTTATTTGAAACAA